TGAAAATCCCCCTAAAACTACTGCACTGTATAATATAATAGAGTTCAATTGTTCAGTATAATTTTCATCTGTGATAAATGAACATCTTATTTGGTGGCAAAATGATTTAGTAATAATGTGCTTGTGCCATGCATCTTGTCAATAAACAATTTGTAAAGTTTCAGTAAATTATAAATTTTATAAGACTGTTCTATAAGGTTTTCACTAATCCCCAGAAGAAAATTCCAATGCTATGATTTTGAACCTAAATTTTAAACCTGTTTCCTCAAATAATGCTAATGATTTTGAGCCTAAATTTTAAACCTGTTTTATCGTTTGCTAATGATTTTGAACCTAAATTTTAAACCTGTTTCCTCAAATAATGCTAATGATTTTGAAAAAACATTTTGTGTCATTATTTATCATGTCAAATTCCAACTTTCAAATTGAATGCAATACCATGGTTCATTAATGCACTGTATTGTGCCCTTTGAAAACAAGATGAGATTTCATAGTTTGAAAAACCTCAATTAAAGAAATCATTCATGGACCTGAAGAAAGCTAAAGAATTTGTTTCAAAGGTTGTGACAATAACAACAAAAATTAAAATATCCATCCAAAGTAAATTGATAAAAAAACCAATTCATTAAATTTTCATTTTAAAAAAAAAAATTAACAAAAACTCAAACCTAGGCAGGTAACAAAAACTCAACTTTTTTGCAAATCAGTCAAACAACCTTGTTAACATTGTATCCATCAAAACTGAAAATCAGCATTTGTGTAAATCTTTGGAAATTTTCTATCTGTAATGGGTTGAAAAATAAATTATAGTGCAGATTACATCTTAACCACAACAACTTTCAAAAAACTCTTGTTATTATTTGTTTTTTTTTGATATTTTTTACAGTTTTATAGAACATAAATCCAGTTTGTGTACTGTTTTTTTTAACAAAATAATGTCTATTAAATGTGGCGAAATAAAACTTTTTCTTCTTTAAAAAAGAAATTTTATTGAATTTAAGGAATAATAATTTTTCTCAATTACATCTTTAAATCAAGTTTTTTACTCTAATTAACCATCTTAAAATTCCATTCTGAAAATGTGATTTCTGTATCTCACCAGGATCAGCAAATACAATCATTGGAACATGGATGATTGGCACCGTGTTTTTAAATCAGTATTGTTTCTAGTTCTTAAGTAAAAAAAAAAAAAAAAATTTGTCATGATCTTAAACTTTAAAATCTGGTTCAAACATGTCATATATATATATATATATAAGCTATATAATCTTTTTCTCAAAGTTAAAGATTTGTTTTTGTTGTGATGTGAAATACATCTTGAATTTTAACTAAAGTTCATCTTGAAAAGGTATAATATATAGATTGTGTTTCAAACAGAACCTCACTTCTTTATTTGTTTCCACTTGAAGATGAAGGTTTGCACCAGGCTGCTCAATGTCATTCCTCATTATGCTGTCTGCATAAGTGATTCTAGAACCCTCATTTAAACCTCATTGAGACTGTACATTTGTGTTTCTTCAATTTAGTAAATTCCCTCTGGTTTTGGCTACTTAACTATGGTGGGTGGACTCCAGTTACTCATAAATTCCATGCCATGTTGTATATCTACCATTATTCAGGACAAAAAGGAAACAAGGTCTTTACTGACTTTAATTTTTTGGTCACTTGTAAAAAAAAGGCTTAGGAAATTTGACAATGGATATATTGAAGTCAAGAAGGACAGAGGAAAACGGTTGGATCAACTCTGGAATGAGTTTTGAATGGTAAAACAAGGAATGGGCTGATGACATGGTAAGAATACAAACATTTGTTGAACCTACAAAAAGATAGGAAGTTAAATCATTGTGGTCCTGATTATTCATGCCCTGAAGGTAAATGGTATCATATGAGAAAACAAAACTCTATATATTTCAATTTAATGGAATGTTAATAAATTATCTAATAACACATAATCTGTAATTGGCATTAATTAGCCAAAATACAAGCAAAAGATATTAATTTTGTTTATATTTTTCAGATTTAATTCATTGCATCTTTTAAATAATTTTTAGTTGAATTGACATATTTGCATTTCTAAGGAATATTTTTTCCCAAACAAAAATAATTCTTTTTTGTTACCAGTTCCATCCAAAGCTATAGATGGTCTGTCATGCTTTTTACTCATAGCTGGGATAGCAAGTTCCACCCACCTTTTTTTTTTTTTTTTTTAAAACTTAATAAAGCAATGTATTCTATTTGTTTCAAATACAAACTTATCTTCCTCTAATTCCTATAAAAATCCTGGCACATCTAACAAATATCAGCTTGACCATGATTTCTATTTTTGCTTATCAAATTTATTCTTTAAAAAATGAAGTTTAATTACATTTATTAAATTATATATTCACCATCATTTGGTGGCTTATAAGACAGTTCTTTGATATCCTCTCAGTAAAGTTCTGCAGGTTTTGATCTGAAAAGCCTTTTCACAAGTTCTTGAATCCAGTTTTTTTATGCGTCCTGGGTAAGATGTTAAACCCCATATCCATCTTTCTTTCTGTTGTAACCATGTCCAGCATCAAATGTTATAGATCAGGAGGTTTTGAGGCTATTTAACCCACCTCTTAATTGCTGATGTTCCCAGGTCCAAATCAACCTGGGGTGGTTGGGAAAGTATTACAGGTCCCACATATGGGCAAATTGTTAACTACACCAGGTGAATACTTTTTTGAAAAAATTATTGCCAGCAATACAATTTTTGAGAAAATATATAAAAACAGATTTTGGGGAAAACAAAATATTTCCACTAATAAAAAAGGTTGGCATTAAATAACCCATTGAAGTTGATAACAAAAAAAACAAAATAAACCAAACCTAACAAACCAGTTTTATTACAACAAAAAATGGCAGTATTTTTTAGTGATTGAAAAAATTCCATAATTTTGGTTTGTTGGTTTTTTAGAACAGATTGAGTTCCCAAAATTTTTCCTGTGTAATTCTTGCTATATATATCTTATATTGTCACCATATGTTAGATATAGATAAATTTACTAATAAAACAAGTAAAATGAAAATTCAACATAAAAAAGCACTTTCACCATATATATCTTTTAATCACTCTCAGACTGCCTTCTGCTAATGTTATTATAGTTGGTATCTATTGAGTCTATTGATTGAAATTTGAGCTCAGTCTGCCAGTTTATCTTGCTGCTGTTACAGTGTAAATCTTGCCCCAGACTCACTATTTATGTGCATCAGAGGGGTAACAAAAAGCATATCCGAATCTTCTTGTTCATGCTACCTTCACTGGTTTTATAAATTCAATCTCTTTGAATTCTTAATCTTTTTGTTAATTTTTTGGTTGTAGGTTGTCAAAGTATCCTGCTTCGGGATCATGCATTTCTTTTTTTAATCCTGTCCATCTTTCAAACTTCTTGATGTGCCAAGCAAACTTCTGTGCAGTAGTAATTATCGCCGTCTTGTTCCTCACAGTGAACTCATTGTAGATGGCATTAACCAGAGAAATTGGATCCCTGCTTTATTTCTTGCCTGCAAAACCTTTTTTTAAAATCATCATGTTTACACTGTATTAGTCTGTTTTGTCTTTATCAGTGTGGAAAACTTCGATCACATTGAACTACAATAGTACTAACTATAAGTATTGAGGTAACAAAATGGACAAGATTTGGAAATCAATCTTGATAGATTTGATTCAAAATCCAACTTTTCCCACAGCTTGAGTTACTTAATCTTACTCTATCAAAAAATCATCTCTGAGCAAAACAACAATTTCCTTCAATAAATGGATATTTTACACGTCTTTTTAAATAACCTGAACATGATTGATAAGCCTTAAAAAAATCAACCTATCAAATTAGTTTTGTTATTTAAGTATCAGTGCTATGTTTACTTTGTAGGATTGTCAGTTTGCCGGGCATTTATAATTTATAATAATTTGGGAAATAATTGAAGAATTTCTCTTCTTGCAACTTCCCAAATCTGTCAATCAATCCTAAGTCTGCAAATTAACCTTTCCATATTTGGATAAAACGTGACACATTGATCCCTCCCATGATGATATTTTCTTTGCTATTGACAGATAGGGAATTTGGAGAGGTGTAGTTTGGACAATCTCGGCTTAGGAAATCATTTCAGTCTTTGCATGAAAAGAAAGCAAATGTTTTAAACCTAAAAAAAATGTTATGGCTAATGGTAGATAATTTTTTTTTTTTTCTCATATTTAGTAGTTACATTTATTACTACAACTAGATCCTCAAAAAAGAGATGCAAGACTCATGAAAAAAATTAAATATTCTACAAATTAAGTTGGCCATGTATAATTTTAATTTTTAAATCCATTTTATTTTCTTTTCTTTTTTCTCTGATTAGTCTTAATTTTACTTTGAATCAGGTTAAAAATTTAATCAAAACTGGTTTCTTATCAAATTTGCAATTTAAAAGTTGTCTTGAATAACCACCCTTCTTGATCATTTTGCATTAATGTATGTTCCCCATGTAGTAATCATTGGACCTACGGTTGGTACTCAACTCTGTATCTATGTATTTGGGAGAACTATTTGAACCTTTTTAATAAGTCTAGTCAAATTGCCAGTTGATCTCAAAAATTACCTTCATGCTAATTTGTTCTTAACTGGGTAAAAAAAAAAAACAACCTAGACTTTAATGCTTTTAAAACAAAACTGCTAGATTTTAATTGTTTGTCATAACCTTTTTACATTTCCTTGGCTACAAATGAATCTAACCTCCTATCCAAATACTACCTTATACATTTCTCAGGCTAACATTTTCCATGGCATTGGAATTGCTGCCATATCTGGTTTGGTGCATCATTTCTGTGCTAACAATTTCTTCTCTTGATTTTTTACACAAAGAATAATTCCGGTTCTTGCTTTCCAGTCAGCTTCACATTTAAATTTTTGAAGATTGAATCTTCTTTCCCAATTCCTGTTCTTTTATCATTCTCTCTCCTTTTTCCCTTTGAATTTGACCAAACTTTATTGATGGTAAGGTCTCATCTTTGACATAAACCATAACTTCTAAATTAGCAGTTTCACAGTGGTACTTCCTGGTGGGTAAACAACTTTTAACTATTTTTTTTATCTACTGTGAGTTAATTTTGATTATTTGTGAATTTTGATGTCAGGAATTCATTTTCTGTTTTCTTAATTCCTATTCTTTTAGTGTTTATTTTTTTCTTTTTGCATATTCTCTCTCACTCAGTAACTCCTTGCATCTTAGTATTGCCTTGCTTGGGGTGAAATGATTAAAAAAAAATCCATGCTTGGGTTTTCTTAACCTTACGAAACTTTGCATTTTTCTTTGAAGACATGTAGTCTTCCATTGTGTATTCTGTCTGTCCAGATCTTCACAATGATTGATACTGCATTTAAGTTTTTTAAGATTGTAGTTTTGACAGGAGGGGGGTAAGAAGCTGTTAGAGAGTATTCCATTGGTCAGGAGTACAAGAGGAAAAAACTATAAGAATAAAACTTTTTTTTTTTTTATTTATTTATCCTTTTTGTTAAATTGGACAAGTGCACCAAAACGTTTAAAGTGTGTCAAAAATTGCCAGTGTGTAGCAGCGTTCTTTATGCAGGGTCCAAAGATAAATACTGTTCCTCAAGTGATTTGTCCTAGAACTATACAGCTAAAACATCACCATGATGGTAACAGTTCAAACAAAGTGGTACCTGTGATGTGAAATGTCTTTCATTATGTTATCTGCTCTGCTACAACAATGAGAATTAGAAATGTCTTCCCTGGAGAGCAGTGACCAGCCGATTATTTTCTGGGCAATATCTATAATCCTTTAGAGGGTGCTCTTGTCCACTGTGGTTAAACTTCAACAGTAAAATGATGAGACCTATCTAACAATCAAGTCCTGCATTTAAATTCATGAGGTCAAAGTACAAAAGAGGAGAGCTCATCAGAACAGTTACAATGAAAATATTTATAGAAAAGTGATATAATGGAATATGCATACACCTGTGTTCCCCCTCACTGGAATATGATTGGCTGGTGTCCGTCATAAATACCGACAGACATGTAGGAGAGTAAAAGAGCCTTAGTCTGAGAGCTAAGTCTATAATGACACCCATTGGACTATGCCATTGATCTACACTTCTTACCTGCGACTACGATGCATACCAGTCGATTACTGCTACCATATTCTACTTTGTTATAGTAGCCTAAACCACTTAGCTACTTTGTTCAAATATATCCCTTTCCAGGACATATCAAAAAGGCACAGGGAAGCCATGTCATGATGGTCAGAAAGTGTTTGAAAACAAGATGTCAGATCATGACCAATAACATTGCATATTCATCTTTGAATTTTGTAAAGAATATCTAAATATATATCAGAAGCACCATACCAGATGTGGCAGCAATATTCAATACACGGATGAATGGTAGACTTATAAGTGTGTAAGATAGAGTTATCTTCCTTTTCCAATTTCCCATGATCATCTTTTGGTAGTTTTCTACTATTTATGTGCGACGTCCTTTGAAGACATGAACGTTCATGACTCTCCCCAACTTCCTCTCTTTTGTTGCTCGAAGTAACTATTGGCCTTTTACAATGCTTCTTTGTCCCAGTTCTGTCATTAATACACACATTACATTAGTTACTCACTATTTTCCTAAGCTCCTCTTTTCTTTGATATGTCCTGTGTGTGTTGAATTCTCTAGGCTCTCTTTCCTCATTATTTGTCACTGAAATTTAAACTATCTTTGCTTATAAGTTTAAGCTTCCTTGTTGTCCCTATTTTCCCTAAGACTTCATAATTGCTCACATGCTCAGTCCATTGTATTCTTAGCATTTGTCAAGAGAACTACATTTTTGTTAATTCAAGTCTCTTCTTCATCTATGAAGAAATTGTTCAGTGTTCATTGACTTATTGGAAATTACGATTTGATTTTTTTTTCTAACAACATATAACTGATGGAAAATATTTTAAATCTTGTCTTTCTGCATCCTCTCCTTCATTTTCTCCATCTTCGTGCCAACTTGGACAGGAATCATCCACTTCCCACCCTCACCCTATTCTTATTAAATTACTAAACCTTATCATCTGTTTACATGTTATGTTTTACAAAAGCAGCTGAAAAAAATTCATAGGAAAATAACGCATGTATTTTATTTTTTGAAAATTATATTTCTTATTGCAAAATAATTAAAATTAATATTTTGGTTTATTAGAATAAAAATAATTTTCTTTTCTTTTAAACTTTAACAAGATAAAAATCTGTGTAAAAAAAAATAATAATTTTAACTATTTTTTATTTTTTTTGGTCAGATTTTTCCCTTTTTCTTTTCCTTCATTCATTCATTCCTTTCTTTCTTTCATTTGATTTGGTCTTTCATTTCATCCGTTCTTTCTCTCTTTCATTTCATCCGTTCTTTCTCTCTTTCATTTCATCCGTTCTTTCTCTCTTTCATTTCATCCGTTCTTTCAGCTTGTTCTTTCTTTCATTTATTTGTTCTTTCCTTTCATTTTTTCTTTGATTTCATTTATTCTTTTTCTTTCATTCTGTTATGATCCGGTTCCTTGTACCATGGTGATAGTCCAAGGTAGAACCAATAAAGAAGAACACAAACACATATATGGAATAACACAAACACATATATGGAATAACACAGATATATTACAAACAGGAATATATACAGAGAAGTAGAAAGTGTTAGTACGAACAATCAGGTTTAGTAGTAATGGTCTGAATGCAACTCTGTTTCGGACTGCCTCTGACTTGACTGATTCGCTCGTTCTGATTGACTGACACACTCCTGACGGACATCACTCCAAACTTCAGACTGAACAGTATTTAGTCACCACCCCCCACGAGAGCATCATGTGGCACAAGGCCAGTTTAACGTGGGATCTCTGAGCCCATGGGATCTCTGAGCCCGTGGGATCTCCGAACCCGTGGGCTCGGCCAAAAATATGCCCTTTGAACCTGTATGAACGGGTTCAGGGTCGGTTTACCTCCCCGAAAGAGACTCCGCCCTTCAGCGTAGCCTCAATCGGGTTCCTCCCCGCCCAAAGGCAGAGAGTTCAACCGATCAGCTGGTCGTCCGACTTCAGACTGAACACCCTGCTTCCTCTTGAAGTGCCGTATTTATTACATATGGAATAGTCTGTTATATTATTATGGGTAAGGTCCCATAACACATTAATTCTCTTTTCTTCATTTTTTCTTTCATTCATTATTCTTTCTTTCATTTTATTTGTTTTTTCTTTCATTCATTCTTTCATTTCATTCTTTTTTTCTTTCTTTTATTTCATCAAACTAGGTGGTATTTATAACATAAAAATCATTTTCCTTCTTTCCTTCACTTATTTCATCAAACCAAATAGATTCTATAACATAAAGTTCTTTTTCTTTCATTCTCTCCTTTTTCTTTTTTTTTTCACTCAAACCAGATAGTGTGTATGAAATATAACTCTTTATTTTTTCTTCCTTTTTTTCTTTCTTCTATTTCATCAAATTAGGTGGTATCTATAAAATAAATATATTTTTTCCTTCAATACTTTTTTCTTTATCTTATTTCATAAAACCAAATAGTTTCTAGAACAAATTTCTTTCTTTCTTTCTTTCTTTCTTTCCATCAAATCAGATAGTGATTATGAAATACAGTTCTTTACTTTTTTCTTCTTTCTTTCTTCATTTGTTTTCTTTCATTTTATTAAACCAGATAGTGTATCTCCAGTCTTGGGAAAATGGAACAGTTTAAAGGAGAAATCTTTTCCAAGTCCGTAGAAGGTGTCAAGTCTATGCCCGGTTTTTAAGAATGCAGGTGATCATTCATCACCATCTCAATATAGATCCATCAGCATCCTCAGTGTTATTAGCAAACATTTTGAAGCTATAATGAGCAAGAATGTCATTGATCACCTCAATAGGGAAAACCTCTTGAATGATAACCTGTATGGATTTTGATCAGTTCCGTCCACTGCCAATATCTTGTCATTGCAGAATCAGTGAGACACTAAACAAAAAATACATCTCAAGGACAACTGCATTAGATATTTTGAAGAACTTTGACAAGGTGTGACATTAAGGGTTACTACAGAAAGCTCTCCAGTTATGGAATTACTGGAATACTCTTCTCAATTATCAAGTCCTTCCTCATGGGTAGGTCCCTGAAGGTAATTCTTAATGGTCAGTCCTCCGAGACCAAAAAGTATCCCCAAAGCTTTCATCTCAGTCCAGCCCTCTTTCACGTTTACATAAATGATTTACCTGAAAGGTATATTCTGATCATTTGTCAATCTCTATGCTGGTGATCTCATGGTATATGGGTGCACCTGTAAAACTCTAGATGAAACAGAGATTGATAGTTGATCTCTCCTCTGACCTAGCTTTAACAGCTTACTGGGATTAAAAACTATCTGGCCACATTCAATGCCTTAAAAACAATGATCTCATGGTATATGGGTGCACCTGTAAAACTCTAGATGAAACAGAGATTGGTGGTTGATCTCTCCTCTGACCTAAATTTAACAGCTTACTGGGATTAAAAACTATCTGGCCACATTCAATGCCTTAAAAACAATGATCTCATGGTATATGGGTGCACCTGTAAAACTCTAGATGAAACAGAGATTGGTGGTTGATCTCCTCTGACCTAGCTTTAACAGCTTACTGGGATTAAAAACTATCTGGCCACATTCAATGCCTTAAAAACAATGATCTCATGGTATATGGGTGCACCTGTAAAAAATCTAGATGAAACAGAGATTGGTGGTTGATCTCTCCTCTGATCTTGCTTTAACAGCTTACTGGGATTAAAAACTATCTGGCCACATTCAATGCCTTAAAAACAATGATCTCATGGTATATGGGTGCACCTGTAAAACTCTAGATGAAACAGAGATTGGTGGTTGATCTCTCCTCTGATCTAGCTTTAACAGCTTACTGGGATTAAAAACTATCTGGCCACATTCAATGCCTTAAAAACAATGATCTCATGGTATATGGGTGCACCTGTAAAACTCTAGATGAAACAGAGATTGATAGTTGATCTCTCCTCTGACCTAGCTTTAACTGCTTACTGGGATTAAAAACTATCTGGCCACATTCAATGCCTTAAAAACAATGTTCTCATGGTATATGGGTGCACCTGTAAAACTCTAGATGAAACAGAGATTGGTGGTTGATCTCTCCTCTGACCTAGCTTTAACAGCTTACTGGGATTAAAAACTATCTGGCCACATTCAATGCCTTAAAAACAATGATCTCATGGTATATGGGTGCACCTGTAAAACTCTAGATGAAACAGAGATTGGTGGTTGATCTCTCCTCTGACCTAGCTTTAACAGCTTACTGGGATTAAAAACTATCTGGCCACATTCAATGCCTTAAAAACAATGATCTCATGGTATATGGGTGCACCTGTAAAACTCTTGATGAAACAGAGATTGGTGGTTGATCTCTCCTCTGAGCTAGCTTTAACAGCTTACTGGGATTAAAAACTATCTGGCCACATTCAATGCCTTGAAAAACAAAGGAAGAAAAAAGTAGTCAGGAACAATTATTACATTGTGCTAGCACAGTCATTGACTTCTTCTGAAAAATTTTGTCTACCCGATTTCACTCACAGGGTTTTGGTTAACCATTGGTACTTACATGCAAATATCCTTGTGAAAGGTATGAGTCCAACTTCTCTCCTTCCAGTTATGGGTTAAATAGTAGAACATTTGTCACTATATCATTATTATCTAAAAAAATAAAATCTTACAATCTAAAAATACTTTCTGGCTTTAAATAACTTGCAAAAGGTTCATAATGAAAACTGAATCAATCAAAATAATAAAAGTAAACAAAATTAGCACACACATCACCACAACTGTAGTAAAAAGAAAAAAAAATGTTTTTTATAACTCGCATTACAACAATAAAACAATCAAAATAAGTTTGTCAAATTGATATCATTTCAGTTCATGAAAATATTTAGAAGTCATAACATTTAGAAAATTAAAATCATTGCTTTATAAAAGCTTGAGGGGCCCTAGCCTGCAACCTACATAAGCTTAAAGGATAATCTGGCCCTAGGCTGCAACCTGTACTCGCCTAAAGGATAATCCAGTCCAAGGCAGCAGCCTATACTAGGCTAAGGGATAATCCAGTCCTAGACTGCAGCCTATGCTAGGCTAAAGGATAATCCAGTCCTAGGCTGCAGCCTATGCTAGGCTAAAAGGATAATCCAGTCCTAGGCTGCAGCCTATGCTAGGCTAAAAGGATAATCCAGTCCTAGGCTGCAGCCTATGCTAGGCTAAAGGATAATCCAGTCCTAGGCTGCAGCCTATGCTAGGCTAAAGGATAATCCAGTAGTCTAGGTCAGGATTATAATAATAATATAAACTTCATGGCAAGCAGGAAGGATGGATTTTTGTAAGTCAGATATACTTAACATCAGTAATTTACCAGCATTTTCATTTCTTATTAAAATATTTATTGTTTCTCAGGAAAATTTCAAATTAACTTTCAAGTTAGAACCTCATCTTCTGTGAAAGTTTATATACCAGACAAATAGTATTTGATGTTTGCAACTTTGTCTCTCAATAATGCAGCCCTATTCAGTAATCATCTAGCTTCAGTGGCTCTTGGGACTTGTATTTGGTAAGCAGTAGCATAAAAATCTATTCATTTCTATAGGAAGAGGGGTTATTAAGCATAAACATTGGAGGCTTTTATTTGTAAACTTTATTAAAACATTTATTCTCTTTGATGGAAGCATTTAAAATTAACTTTCAGATTAGAACTTTATAAAGTGTGTCTCAGTCAGTTATCTGTCATGCGTGATACATGCTTAGGCAATCATGTATCTTTTGATAGATGACTGATGAGGCAGATTTTTTCCTGTAATAGATTGCCATTTCTTTCTATGGTAGACCAGTTGCCATTCAAGGCTATAGAACGTGGTCTGTCCTGCTATTTATCCATGCTTGGGTGAGAAGAAGAGAATTCATACCTTTCCCAAGAGTATTAGCATGTAAGTGAATGTAATGGATTTGAGTGGAATTTGAACTCGGCTCTCTGATTCCTCAATCTGAGCCACTATCCATTACTCCATCATGCCTCCTGTGTCTTTACATGACAAATATTATTGGATGTTGCAACTCAGTCTCTGAATTATAAAATCTATTCCTTTCAATGAGAAGAAAGTCTTTTCAAAATTGTCAGTGTTGATCATGTCATCTCAGTCATACCTTTTCACTGTTGAAATAGCTAAATGCAACTGTGACTTCTACTCCAAAAATTTATTTTCTTGTACTTCACACCTGTGGAACTCCGTTCCATTTGCTTGCTTCCCTGATAACTACAATCTTCAAGAATTTAAATGCAATGTTAATCACCATCTTTTTTGAATCCCCCCCTTCATTTTGTATCCTTTCCTCAATCCTCCCTATGTTCAGTCTTTCACTTTCATTCCCTGTAATCCCCTGCGTTCTAGTGAATCGCCATCTTCTGTCTTCTTGAATCCCATTCATCTTTAATCCTTTTCTCAATCCTTCCTATTCTCAGTCTTCTCCTTCACTTTCATTCCCTGTGACCCCCTGTGTACGATTGGCATTCCTGCTTTGCTTAGGGTGAAATGATTAAAAAAAAAAAAAAAAAAAAAAAAATGAAAATATTTAATTGACTTACAAGTGATTATCATAACCTTTATCTGCATATTATGCGGGCATTTTGGATGGCACAACGTATTGAGAAATTGCAATTGATTCTTTGTAATATTTGCAGCTTAGTCTCTTAAAGTTAGTAGCTATGCTCTCTTTGGGACTAAGAATATTTTAAAGATTTAAAGAAAATCTCATTTTAAGCATAAATAAAATTGTTTGTTGTAAACTTTGTTATAAACATTTACTTTTTATTAAAATTTGCATTATTCTTTTAAGAAACAAATCATGTAATTGATTTTGTAGAGCAAAAAAAATATTTTCTGAGTAAATGGAATTCTTACCATTTTTTTCATTGAACCTTGGGAGTTTATAAATTTTCTTTTTGCATCCTTTTCCTGAAATGCTTCTTTGGTATCAATGTTTTCAAGCCTTTATATCTTGTCCTGTAGGTATTATGCTCAAATATTTGTTTTTTTTTTAAAGACTTATTCCTGTATGTTTTATTCTGCGATGACACAATGTGGTGCCTTGAAGCCGATTCATGTTTCCAATGATATCGTGTCAACTTTTGTTCCAGAAAATGAAAAGAGAAAAAAATTCCCTCCAAAACAAAGAACTAATGATGTGTCTACTATGAGAATATTTGCCGTTTATTTATCTGTTTATTTTAGAGAAGATATTTGATGGATTCTCAGATGGTTTTATTTTTGTATGTCTCTGTTTTCTTTGAAATATTTAGTCTTAAAAGATGTCTGGATTTGTTTTCTGTTTTTAATTATGGCATATATTTTATTTACATTTTTTTTTTAATTTAATTTTACATTTCTCATTTGTATTTATCATACCTGAATATTTTACGTATTTTCCCTATTTTATGGTTTCTTTCATTTTCTTTCTTTCTCTTGTTTTCTCTATCTTTTCATATTTTTTATTCTTTTTCATTTCCTTTAAATTTCTTTTTTCTTTTTTTCATTTCCTTCTCAGTTTTCATATACTTTCTTTAATATTTCCTTTTTCATTTCCTTCTCTTTTTGCGTGTGTTTTATTTTCAATATTGCTGTTTTCTTTGCCCTTTTCTGTGTTTTTTCTTTCTTTAATATCTCCCTTTTTGTTTTATTTCTCTCTTTTCATTTGCTTCCTTTTCTTTCAGCTTTTTCTATTTTTGTTTCTTTTTTCTATACAACCAATTTCTTTTCAGTTTTTTTGGCTTTTTTCATATTTTTTCTTTACTTTAATATTATCTATTTTTTCACGTCTTTTGTTTCATTTTCTTTTAACTTTCATGTGTTCGTTTTTTTCCTTTCATATTTTTCATTCATTTCATGTTTTTATTTTCTTTCATCACTTTCACTTTTCTGTGCTCTTTCTTACCATTAAGTTTTTTTTTTCTGTTTCTTTTCAGGGTTTTACATTGTTTTTCTTTTACCTTCTTCTTTTTCCCCCTCTGTCTTTTCTTGTAATTTACTTTTATATTTCTCTTTAATTTTCATGTTCTTTTTCTTTCTTTTTCTGTCTTTTCTTTCTTGATTTCCTTATCACTTTTCATGTTCTTTCTCTTTCTTTTTTCCTTCCTTCTTTCTTTTTTCCTTCCTTCTTTCTTTTTTCCTTCCTTCTTTCTTTTTTCCTTCCTTCTTTCTTTTTTCCTTCCTTCTTTCTTTCTTTCTTCCTTCTTTCTTTCTTCATTTCCTTATCATTTTTCATGTTCTTTTTCTTTCTTTTATCCTTCCTTCTTTATTTCTTCATGTTCTTTCTCTTTCTTTTTCCTTCCTTCTTTCTTTCTCCATTTCCTTATTACTTTTCATGTTTCTTTTCTTTTTTCCTTCCTTCTTTCTTTCTTTTTTCCTTCTTTCTTTCTTCATTTCCTTATCACTTTTCATGTTCTTTTTCTTTCTTTTTCCTTCCTTCTTTCTTTCTTTTTTCCTTCTTTCTTTCTTCATTTCCTTATCACTTTTCATGTTCTTTCTCTTTCTTTTTCCTTCCTTCTTTCTTTCTTTCTTCATTTCCTTATCACTTTTCATGTTCTTTCTCTTTCTTTTTCCTCCCTTCTTTCTTTCTTTCTTTCTTTCTTTCTTCATTTCCTTATCACTTTTCATGTTCTTTTTCTTTCTTTTTCCTTCCTTCTTTCTTTCTTTCTTTCTTTCTTTCTTCATTTCCTTATCACTTTTCATGTTCTTTCTCTTTCTTTTTCCTTCCTTCTTTCTTTCTTTCTTTCTTCATTTCCTTATCACTTTTCATGTTCTTTCTCTTTCTTTTTCCTTCCTTCTTTCTTTCTTTCTTTCTTTCTTTCTTCCTTCATTTCCTTATCACTTTTCATGTTCTTTTTCTTTATTTTTTCCTTCCTTCTTTCTTTCTTCATTTCCTTATCACTTTTCATGTTCTTTTTCTTTCTTTTTCATGATTTCTTTTTTTTCTTCTTTTGAATTCCTTTCATTTTCCAAGTTTTATTTTCTACTTTCTTTCTTTTTTTACTTTCTTGTTTCCTTCATTATTTTTTTCCCCTTTTCTCTTTCTATCTCTTTTCATGTTTTTTTTTATGCATTTAGAATGTCATCATCCCTCACTTCTTCTCAAAATGAATTGAGTTGATTCCATTCGTTGTCATCTATTACTCCCTCCACCCATCCACTGATGTTTGCATTAAATCTTTCACAAATCAGACAAGAAGACTTTATCAGAAGATACCTTCTAAAAAATATTATTTGTTTTAATGAATTATCTTTGAATTGGTAATTGTAATCTCTTGGGTACAGTGGGTCTCTCAGGGAATAATTGTCACACTGATATTTATGCAAGCAAAAGTCAATGACTCGCTATTTTATTCAATGTATTTTTGGTTGATAACAATTAAAGGAGATGAAAATTCCAAATCATGGTGCATTAACTTTTAACCAGTACTTTGTTGTCTAGTTTGGTCTCTGACAATCAGCAGGTGAATCTTTCATGCAATGTCAATAGTTCTTTTTTCAGAAGATAGTAAAATTCTGTCTTACTTATTATTTAGTTTTAAGGTATGCTCAATATCAGAGATAAAGTATATGTATAAAATATAAAAGTAGTGATGACTATTTAATGCTTGAATACAATCTTCATGTCCTGAAGATATCACTCAATCATGAAAGAGACAGCTACCTCGAAGTGTTGGCTTCAGTGTCCACTTCTATGTTTCATATATTATACCTCTGTTATTCTACATCAAGCACTATTTTATTAACACCATTACTCAATGTGATATATATATATATATATATATATATATATATATATAACATTGAAGTCAACACTCAAGGCAACAGGCTGTTTCATGTTGGATGTAATGAGCATGAAACAGCCTGTCGGCTCTGAGTGTTGACTTCAATGTTCACTTTATATTTATACTTACATCTGCTCTATCTCTGATATTGAACAATTTATCCCATAAATATAGCACACCTTAAAACTATATTTCTTCATATATATATATATATATAATATAATATAAAAAGCTCAAACACTAATATTCCATGGTTATAATTTATTACATTGTAATCATAATCACGATCCAATTCATCAGACCTACAAATTCAAAAAGAAATCCTATATATATTGACCACTGATATTATATATATATATATATATGTTTGATTTTGTTTTTTCTGTTATTTGAACAGGAAACTCTCTTTTATATAAGTTTCATTAAAAATGCCTGACAAGGTACTGCAGTTAAGTTTTGTATCATTTTTCTTGTGTTCTTATAAAACAAGATGATTTTTTTTCTAAATGTTGTAGTGTTACTTGTTGGCTGCTAGGTCATGTAATTTTATTTAAATGTTAGATTTCATTTTTAGCTGTTATTTGGGCAGCAATCCTTCTTTTATACAAGTTTCATTGAAAGATTTTATTGTATCAAAAAGGGGTTGTTGCCCATATAATAGTGAAAAATGAAAGCCAACAAGGAAAGTAATAAAACATTCAGAAAAAACTTGTTTTATGAGAACTCAAGAAAAATTAAATTCAAAAATTCAAAACTGCAGTAACTTGTCATTCATTTTATAATGAAACTTGTTATATATATATATATATATATATATATATATATATATATATCACATGACTACATGCCTATCCAGATGTCTTATGTTACACCTATATGACCATAGCTCTCTTAGAATCCATTTAAACACACACACAAACTTACCAGACTCCATCTGAAACATACTAGTGGAAAATACAAACATAATAATTTCATCCACATGTAAAAAAGATTAAAAATAATGGAAGTCATAATATTAAAAATGAAAAAGTCAACACTTAATAATATTAACTACAAGCACAGACACAATATGCTGAGTTTGAAAAATAAAACATCCCTATAACTCTAAACATATACAAACAACCTACACACCCAATTAAATTGAAAAAATAAAATCATCCTTGATAATGGCTAAAATTATATATATATATATATATATATATATATAGAACATTTGGAAAGTTTCTACCCACTCTGTGTCCAAAAAAAAAACACTTGTTCAAACATGAGAAAAATTAATTAAAATTCCTACTCATACTACCTTGTTTGCCATCTTTAATGAAACATGCATAAATGAAGGATTGCTGCCTAAATATATATATATATATATATATATATATATATATATATATATATATATATATATATATATATATATATATATAGAATTTGACAAAAACTATATCAAACCCTAGATACCATGATAGGAAAGAAAATGGAGTCAGCGTATGCCACCCTAACATTAGCTTACCTAGAGGAAAATCCCTATGAAAAGACAGAGCAAATATATGGGGAAAATATAAAAACCCACTTCAATAAATCTTGGAAGAGTTACTTTGATGATTGGTTCATTTTCTGGAAATCTTCATGGGGCAATGTTAACTGATTACAGAATCTATGCTAAAACTTAGACTCGAAGATCAAATTCATCCAAGAACATCATTTTAACGAACTGCCATTGTCAGACATTCCCATCAGGAATAGAAATAATCACATAATCACAGATATCTACCAGAAACCTACAGACACCTAACAATATCTTCATTTCAAGAGCTATCACCAGAAAAGCTGCCTAAAATCCATCTCCTATTCCCTAGCACACAGGGTTTTCACTATGGTGTCCGACAAACACCTCTGAAAAACCATCCTAGAAGAATTCCATAAAACTCTCAAAAAACAAGACTACCATTAATAAACAAAAGTTTTAAACTAGCAGAAAAAATGCCTTTATACCAACTATGAAATGCAATGTTGAACAAATTCTAGCATATGTCTCAACATACAAGAACAATCCAGAACTAATTACAGAAATTAGAAGAAATCTAAACCTACTTAACAAGAATGATAAAATGAAGAATATACTAAAACAACCAAGATAATTAAAAGCAAACACCAATAAAAAAAAAAACTAAAACACATTAATTTTATCCAAATTTAGCCAACATACAATATAGAGGTGGGGGTCACAAATTGGAACAAGAAAAGATGTGGGGTTTGTGATATCATTATAGAAGGAAACTTCTACACTTTTGAAAACCCCACAACATTCACAGTAAAGATTTAAACTGCAACTCCAAAAATGTGATTTATACACTCAAGTGCATGAAATGCAACAAGTCCTATATAGGTATCAGCCAAGCACTAAAGAATAGTTTCCCTACACAAAAGCAAATTACCAGACAACAGGAAACTCTTTCAACAAAGGTAAATTTAAAATTATGCCAATATTTCAAGTGGACAATTATTCTTATCTAGAAGTACAAGAAAAAAATTCATAGACAAATTTAAACCAACACTAAACAAATTATAAACCCCCACACATAAATACATACCATATACACATAGTGGCCAAATACACTAGTCAGACCACACACACACACACACACACACATACAAATATATATGGAGAATGAATATATACATACATACTGGCAAAAGAAACCACACCAGATGGACCACATGCACACATGAACCCTACACACCATGCAAAGTGTGTTTGTGTGTGTGTATGTGTATGTTTTAAAAAGAAGAGAGAAATCGCAAAAATTTTTGGTTATGATGTGGATTTTTTAAAAAATATATATTATACTTTATTTTCTATATTTTTGTTAGACGTGTTTCCAGTCTTGCGATCTTCATCTGGCAAAGAGTGGTTATTTCCACATATTGTTAAAAGGAATTAATTTTCCTCATGTTTTCAATGTTTAATCATTGTCTTTTGTCTGTAGTAGTAGCCCAAAAGTTTTTCTTGGACTGGTGGTGAAAGTACTTTTCTGCTTGAGGGCTAATAAAACAGTTAGGGTCGGTTAGAGAAAGGGCAAAGGGAGGGGGCCTTGCTCTTATCTTTTCATAACCCCTGTATCTACTTAGGTCTATCTCCATTTTTGTGTATTGTGTATGCATGTGTGTTTTTGCTAGTATATGTATGCATATTCCTTCTCCACACATATATACTGTCTTATTATAAGTAATTCAGTATGTACACACACACACATATATATATATATACATATATATATATATATATATATATATATATATATATATATATATAGGCTGTCAACTTACAAAGTGAGTATGACAATCACTGACATGTCCAGTCCATCAGTTAATCTCCCCTCTCCCACAAACTACATTCATTTGTTGTGTGAATGACAGTGGTTCATAAAGCCAGCCATTGATCTGCATTTCTGGTGACTGAGCAGACCTGTCTTGGACAGACATCTTCGATTGCATTGGGCACATGGCCAGGTTGTCACCTCCTGGCAATTCAGGAATCCCTTCTAAATTCCTCTCTTCAGTTCTGCATATTTTTGTGATGCCTCATGGAAGATCTTGACAGCATCATCAATACCAGCTCGCCAAGAAACCTGGTCTTCAGCTAGAGTTTCCCAGTTATCCACACCAATATTGCACTTGTATAGTGACTCTTTAAGGCAATCTTTGTAACAAAGTTTTGCTTTATGCTGCGGTCTTTTTCCCCATTTCCAATTCTCCATACATTAATTGTTTTGATATTCTGTTATCTGCCATACAGATAAGATGATCTGTCCATCACAATCTGTATTTGTATATAATTGCTTTGACAGAGAGTGAATTGGCTCTTTGTAGAGAACATTTGGAAAGTTTCTACGCACTACAACAGTATCAGGGGTGTGAGACATCGAGTGGATTTCAAGCACAGATCGAAGGCATCATTGATGAAAATGTTCCAGTATCTTCAGATGTCTGTGATAGACTACCCATATCACACATGAATATAGCAGAGATGAGATAATGCAGGCATTATATATTTTAATTTTAGACTGCTTTTTTATACCCTTCTAACTCCAGACATGGAACCTAAGTGCTGTAAATGCATTGGAGGCCTTCTTAATCCGTAACACTATCTCATCACGGGGGGGGCAGTGG